TCCCATCACAGAAATTCTGAGTCTGTACAAGAGACCTAGGTTAGAGGTTAAGGGTGGTTGCTGCGAGCACGTACCACTCACATCCACGGAGAAAGTTGTCGGCGGTACAGGCAAACTCTGCCTTGGCCTGGCCAAGAAGCCGAGGACTGCTCTTCACATCGTACTGAATGGCAGGTCTGGCAGGGCACAAAGCAACATGCAGACAAATACATGTACACAATGGCTCAAACACGTTCCTGCATGACCAGGCACATCACTTCCCGAAGAATAATAGTGCAAAGGTTATCCTGTGAAAATGGTGTGCTCATGGCGAACAAAAAGTTATCAAAACTTGTACATGCCTTCACACGTACACAGTGCCGATATCACCTACGAGCAATATTATTGTACTGGTTAACCATGTAATTGTTACATGCAGAAGTAGCAGGAGTGACATACGCAGGGAGTTCAAGTAAAGTTCCAATAGGCAGAGTGTTACACTGCCATAAGGAAACATACTGGGCCGCTGAGTCCAAGTCTGCAGGGGAGACCCCAGGTTCATAATGATTAATCATACAAGTGGGTGCATTTGCATACAGTGCTCAGTCAGCCACGACGATCAAAGTAGTTATTTGTTGCTATAATCACACTCCAACACGGCAACAAGAAGGTGGAAACTAGTACAATCGTGTAGTCTGTGGAGAGTTAGGTATACAATAGTGTTTAGTGTACTTCAAAGTAGTACTGAATTACCGTGCATCTCCAGGATCAGAGTCCACATCTGCAACACTCTCAGCAGCTGCTTCCTCTTCGTGGTCTGTTTCCATGTTCTGCCTCGGACCCTCAGCGCACAGTATATTACACAGCCAGACAAATCACTATGACTGTTTCCCTACCCAGAGAATTTCACCAACTGGATATTCGCCTACAACTAAGTAGTAAGCACTTTCGAATCTGTCGTTTACAAAATAACTCAGGCGTTATCGCCTGAAAAGCTTCACTATAGCTATATTTACAAGTAGCGTACCACACTGATACAGCCAGAGCTATACGAGAAGGTAATTTCAATTATTTCAAAATAATTGACAAAAAGTCAAAGCAGTGAACAGATGAATGGCTTGGAAGAAAAAAGTTTGTTCATGCCAGAGAGTGTGTGCTACGCCGCCTTGGCCGCACTACATCACCGTCTCCAAGGAAATTTGAAAATGGCGTCATGACGCCGCCGAACAAAACTCGAACAAAAGTCAAAGCAAGCATTTTGTTTTGGTTTTTGGTTTGTGAACAACTGGTTACCCAAGAAGGTTGTTCTTTCATTTGACTGTTTTATTTTGCAACCTTCCCTTTCGGAAGTTTTCAGTGATCAGTGTGAGTTTTTAGAATCTTGATGTTGCCCATCATGTTGAGAACCTGAGGCGTGATTCATCCCTAGTGAAATCGCTTCAACAGGCTGTTCAATGGTGATCAGCTACATGTACAACGAATGCATTCCCATCGACCCCTTACTCAACCTGAGCAGCCATGATACGTAATTCGGTCCGTGCTGCTGTTGGTCTATTGTCGCATAATGGCTGTTTCGCTAGGGCAGTGGTGAGTAGGTCCACTGCAGGAAATCAGTGGGTATTTTCTCGATGGCAGTCTTCAACTTCAAGCCAGTCGTCGCAGATAGTGAAGGCTGTGGTGGATGATGTGCAGTCAGATCTGGACAAAGAGAGTCACGTGTTCGTGGCAACTGGTCAGTACTGTGACCAGAAAGAGATGGACAGGGTAGTCGTATCCACAATGAAGTCGAGCCCTGTGTCAGCCCTGCAGTCGGCCAATGATTTGAGAAAACTTCGACCTTTCATTCTCTTTGATGGATACTTATCGCCACAAGGTGTTGATGAGCTACAGGAGAAGCTCTCTAAGCTAAACTGCACGCTGTACTTGGGCGAGGTCGATGCAGTCAGGGCCAACTCTCCCCTCATTGGCTTTACACACTCTCCGAGTGTTGCCGTTGTACCACAGCGCTGTGCAGAGGTGCCACTGCGGGAGGATGACCTGTGGCAATGGCTAGCAGTTAGCAGAGACTCAATACTACTCTGTGCTATGCCTAGGCCGAAAACAGGCCAAGATCAGGAGGATGCACTTGAGGACTCGTCCGATGCGACCATACCGAGAACAGCTTATGTCAGGAGCGAAACACGAAGTATACCGATGTCTCTCATAGCTGACGTACAAATACAGGTGGAATCTATTTCGTGGGAGTTCGCTGAGTTGCAGTTGAGACTGATCAACGGTGAAGTAATAACTGTCTTGCGCATGAACTTGAATGGTGTCATGGAGGAGCTTATCGACACAGAAGCGTTTGAAGAAAACGGTGGAGAAGATGGAGATGATTCGTACACAGCGAAAACAACGGCTAGCTCATCCTCTGCCAGAGTCAGTAAGACCAGTGAGCCTGCAAGCTCAGGTGAAGATCGAGAGCTCGGTCAGTTGGAGAACATATTCGACACTGATCTTGACGATGAAGATATTAGTACTGTGGACTTTGCCACTGGTCGCGTGAATCCAGACCTGGCCATTGTTATGAGCACGGAGTGGATGGTAAAGCTGGCTGGGCGCATATGCCTGGCGTGCCATCAGAACAAGCATCCTGTGAGCCTGCGTCTGCCTAACGTGCTGCGAGCTGATAGTAACAAATGGGTAGAGTTCCGCAATGAAATGTGGTTGGCCAGTAGGAGAGCACCAGTTGCGTGAGATTTGTACTTTGTAGGCATATTTTATTCAGTCCATTTCTAGCTTTTGTAGAGCATTTTTGCAATGAGGCTGTGCTTTAGTTCCTACTTTCTTGAACATCAATATTCCATTGTTTTACTTGGGCTTAGCAAATATTTTCACACCATAATTGCGATGGGTGTGGGCTTCGATTACGATCTACGTGTGCGTGTAGAGTATTAGACTGTGCAGATGAGCCTCTCCGCACTAAGTCCTTGTGTACTTGTTGTAATGTTGAGAGCGCACATTCCGGTGACATTTGAGTTTTACTCCGAAGTATTATTTTGTATTCCCGTTCCCAGTAGTGCGCCTTGTTCCATGGCAGTACCTATTCAACCTCAATTCCTATTGCGTTGTCTTGTGTGTGCACTGGCAGATGGCCCCGGCTGATTCGCTGAGCTTCAGAAGCCTTCACCTGTGTTCTGGGATGAATGAAGCTGCAAGAATTCACTTTCCGCATTTCTTTCTGGCCCAACTCTCTTGATCGATCCCACACATGCACACCTCAAATATTTACTCCCGAAGCTATGAAAAAGATGCTACATAGTAGCATCTGGAGCTAGCCAGGGTCCTCTATACTTTATGTTGTGCGTGCATGTGTGTGGGTGCGTGTGTTCGGTACGGCCAGCACAAACCACCTGACTGATATCGTACATTGAAGATGACGCAGTGTGTTCGTATGATCGTATGAATTATACTACACTAGTAGAGTACCGGTAAGTAAAGAACGAGCATAGCGAGGGTCGGTCCTGTGCTGCCTCTCTCGTCATAACGTTTATAATATTAAATACGTGTTGAGGCAAACACAAAAACAAGACCATGTACCAGTGACAAAAAGTCTCATGTCAAGAGCTAGATCATAGAGCTATCGATATAACAAGAGTTCATAACCAGATAACCAGATAACCATGATAACCCCTGACTCCCGATCCCTGATCCCTTGGCCCTGCACTCTGCAGGTAGCTAGCAAGTCTAAAAAAATTCAAAAATCATCATTTTGTTTGATTTTTTGCTGTGGGCGCGGCGGCGTCGGCCCCGAGCGTAGCAAGCTATCGACTTTTTCAATCACGCTTTCACGTTCAGCTTTCGATCTCCTGGCTGGATCAGCTGCATTTTGTAGTTTGGAAGAGAATAATTCAAACGATCAAGTAAGCATCGAAGGGACCTTGGATATCTTTGGAGTTTAGTATTGTGACTACCAAGTATCTGTGTTTCTGTCGGGCAGAAGTGGCTGTACTGTTGCGTAATTTCGAAGAAGATACTCGATTGAGCAATTCATGAAGATATCTCCGATATTACCAAGCCAGAACATAGGTGTTGACTTCCATCAGGTTCAGTGTTTGGGTCACACCTGAGCACGTTCACTGGAGAATGAGCAAACCCCCTGCCAAAAGATTATACCGGCAGACAAGTATCTTGAGCTCATATCGACCAGTGCGCCAAGCTAGTGGCGATTGTTCACCTGTGGATACAGGCTGCCACTCTGGCAAACCTGAACTCAGCTCTGCACATGCAAATCGTATGGATGAAGGTGTAGCAGCATCAGCAGCATCTGCTGCCAGTGTCGGTGATGTGCGTGATGCGCCTGAAGCTCCAAGGTCCGTGAATAGAGACTGTGCTGGTCGCAGTGATCACACTGAGGACCAGGTAGCACATGGAGGTGAAGATAAATGTGCGCAGCCATCGCCCGAGGACGACTCTGAAAGCACGTTACCCATACCCATTGACTTTGATAGTGATGATGCACCATCATCCTGCTCACCGTCGCTGGCTGCTAAGCCGGCAACAGTACGACCGTGTGAGAATTCCAGTAAACTGCGGACATCACCGCCATTTGAAATTGATCTTGGAGATATCAGAGATGTGAAAAACGTCACTGCACTCTTTAATGTGAATGATATCAAATCTGGTGAAAAGCGTCCTCCGCGGCCTTGGCCGACAGATTATCGAGATTACTGGGACAACAATCACGTTCGTCTGCCATGTTCACCCAAAAACCTGATGCTCGTAGGCAAGGGAGACAATCGCAGTGAAACATCACGCTGGAAGGTCATTGAGGATGCCCTGTCCAGACCACTGCAGAACAGTTGGGATATCGAGGAGGCCATTTTGTCGTACAACGCACGCTACACCCAGCGATGGAACTTTGATGGCCTGCACCAGTTCTTCGATCCGGCCGGTGACAAGGGAGGAGCAGATCGCGCAGAACGAGCACTTTACTTGCAGACAACTATCCCTGCCATAGCACGGCTAGTACTGAACCTACCGCACTTGATTCCGGGTGGTATCCCGCTCCTGAAAAAGTCTCAGCAACGCACACTATTCCTGAGTCAACTGCAGGTTGCCAGCCTACTCGCCTGTGCCTTCTTTTGTACATTCCCGCACCGCAACTCGACGGGCTCGAACAGCGAGTATGCTTCATTTCCCAGCATCAACTTCAGTAGTCTGTTCCAGGGAGATAGAGGCAGGCGCTCGATGAGTCCAAGTCGTGCTGCAAAGCTGCGCTGCATCCTGCACTACTTCCAGTGTGTGACCAGTAATCCACCTGCCGGCGTGATCAGCTTCGAGCGGCGATTTCTCGCAGGTGCTCCACAGTGGACATCTTCAATGTTTACGCTCAGTGATCTGTTTGTGGCGGATGATGGCACAATAGAGGATGATGGTCATGGCATGCTGCAGGTGAGGTGTTGGTGGGCCTATTACCAGTTACTGAAGCTGTATGTGTTACATGTGCACTGCACTAAATTCATGAGAAATCACCCAAACTCATGCAGCTCTGTCTTCTCGAGTGACGGAATGCCTGCTACGCACTAAAGGTTGTAGCACTGAAAGTGTAAGGTAATCAGCAAGGGCTTGTCAATGTGTGTGTGCATGCAGGTGCGGATGCTGGATAGTTTGCAGATCCACTGGATTGCGTTACGACTGCCGTTGGACAAATGGAAGCAGTAAAGAAGTCATACCTTTTCCTGGGATTTGCATACGCATTGGGGCTGTGGTGATGGTGGGGGTGTGAGCTTAGTGTGTCAATGTCATTGGATCAAAAGAAGGTCCTATCACTACTAGGCATTGGAATATTGACTTGCTTAGACATAGAAATCATTCTGATTTCACGAACCTGTTGTGCCTGTGTGTTTTGTTGCTTGCAGGCTGACTTTGCCAACAAGTTCATTGGCGGTGGTGTGTTGGGCCGAGGCTGTGTTCAGGAGGAGATCCGGTTCATGGTCTGCCCAGAGCTGATCGTGTCGCGACTCTTCATGGAGATGATGCTGGAGAAGGAGAGTATTGTCATAGTCGGCGCTGAGCGCTTCTCGTTCTACTCGGGCTATGCTAGCTCGTTCCTCTGGACCGGACCATACTCGGATACAACACCATTTGACAAGTGGCGCCGTCGAAACACCACCGTTCTGGCCTTGGATGCGCTGGTCTTTCATAACAAGGCCGCCCAGTTCAAGAAGCCGGCTCTGACCAGGGAGCTCGTCAAGGCCTACTGTGCCTTCAAGAGATCAACTGGTGTGCCACGTGACTATCAAGTAGCTGTTGCAACCGGCAACTGGGGTTGTGGTGCATTCGGTGGCGAGCCTTACTTGAAAGCGTTGCTGCAGCTCATTGCTACGTCGGCGGCCAGTCGTCAGCTTCTCTACTTCACGTTTGGCAACAGCAAGCTGTCTACAGACTTGCTGGAGCTGCACCGGGCCCTGCGTGCTAACAACACCACGGTGGCAGCGCTCTGGCAGGGAATATTGACATACAGCCAGATATACCCAGCACCAGCTGGTGGTCGTCATCTGTACTCGTTCCTTCATCGTAGGTTGTGCTGTGATGAAAGCGGCGAGTCGGAGGGCACAGAGCCACTGTCCTCGGAAGGTACCGATGTTGCCTACTCCGAGGCTACTGAACTCCCATGCTCTGAGGAATGTGTTGTGCCATGTTCCGATGAGGCTGAACTTCCCTTGTCGGAGGACACAGCAGAAGCAGCAGCAGCGTGCTTGGATGATTCAGCACCGCTGTTCTCGGATCCTGGCGAGGATATGGGATCCCCTGCTCCTTCTTCTCCTCACCTTCTAGCCGGAGTTACACGGTCAGAGGATGTCAGCAGGCGCACTCAGACGTCAGGTGATGAGCCTGGTACCGTGACGACTAGTGGTGAATGACGCACACCCGTAGTAATTTCTGACTGCACCATGGTGGCAAGCCCTCTGGTTGCACACCACAACCTTACTCCTAGATTGGGGAGTGCTGTCATCAACCGCAATGCCATTGCACAAGATTATATTGACACCGCTTGCACTGATTCAAACGTGTTCCACTGATGAATGCCCCGATGATAATTTCACACGAATTCACATAGTGGTGCATGCAACTCAAACCACTGCCGTCCATCGAATGGCTCTGGCCATTGTGCTCACCTACCCTCCTTCCGTTTTCGAGTACATGTAGCTACCTTGCCACTCTCTGAGGTGTACTAAAGTACAAGCTGTAGGAGGTCCGCTCTCTCCCTAGGGATTCATATACTACTTTATACATATGTCAAAGAATCAGAATGCTACTCTGGGTTTTTATGAGATTTCCAGCCCATCATGACGGCACACATCTTTTTTTGGTTTTACTCAACTTCTCTTAGGTGGACCTCTGTCCTTGTTTTATCATGTCATGAAACACATGTCTTTCATGGTAATTGACAGCTCACCTGACAGACACAGATATACTCTGAATTGTTTTAGTAACTTTTTACCTGGCATCTTATTTTTACAATTGCTTTATCCTTGATGTCTGTGACAATTGTTTTTCAAGACTTTTAGTTGAACTCACGTATTGCGGTATATCTACTGGTACTCTAGTGCTGTCTGATCATTGTACTCTATGTGTGTGTGTGTGTGTGTGCCAGCTAGTCCGGTTGGTGGGTACACTTATGCCTGATTGTGTTGGGTCTGTTGCCAACGGGCTCAGCTGCTTGAAGGTGTAATGTTGTACCTGCCACCTTTGTTGGTTCCAGGGTTCATGTACTTTCTATTTGAAGTATACATACCTGTTAACCATGGACTGCTGCTGGCTGGATTAACTCTTGTGTAATCAATGGTGCTAGTGAAGCGTATCAGATCCACTCTGATTTAGCCACCCACACTAGTAGCAAGCATTACCTTCACTGGGGGCAGGGGTAACTGCAGTTGGATCCCAGGACGGATATCCTGATGCCGTCAATCCTTTTTCTGCACCTTGTCCTCACCCACTTACTGAGGTGTGGTGAGCCCATAAGTGGGATCATTATCAAGTTCACCCAGAGTTTGGGGGATTTCAGGGGGTGTCGGCCGTTGGGCGGTTCAATAGGCAATTGAGTCATCTTTCCAAGATTCCTTTTGAGTCTCTCTCCCCTCTCCCGGGGAGACCCTCGTGACCAGTTTTGGCAGTGAGCAAGTACAAGTGTGTGTGTGTATGTGTGTGCGCGCGCGCGCGCGTGTGTAGTTTGTAAAGTAAGTACAAGTAGTGTGGTGTGTATGTGTTTTACTTATAGTTTTTATCTGCATTTTTTCAAACTACTTGTAAGTCGGCGGAATAGTGCGAGCTCCGGTGTGGGGAGCAAACCCTTTCTTACTTGTAAGCATGTTTACTGGGATTTGTCAAAGCACACTGCTGTGATTAACTCGACTGGAGACCAGGAGCAGTGACAGTGGTCTCAGACAAGGAGTGACACTGATTATCAACAAACTACCTGATGCCATCTACAATCACTGACAAATATTGTAGGATACCCTGAACTATTTTCAAGACAGCTCGGGAAGCGCTCGTTTTCAATTTTTATCATTGGACTAAAAAAAGAAGCAGAGAATAGATGGAAATTTCACATGTAGGTAAACTTAATAAAATGATATGTACAGAGACCAGAAGTCCATCTGTAACTTAGTTACACAAAGCATTGTCGGCCATCGTGCCACTTCCATGTGCCAGCAGACAAGCAAGAATTGAAGAGCCATGTCGCTGTGCGAAGCTAGCAGCAGCGGAGAGTTGGCATGGCATCAGCAATACAAGCGACACAGGCTAAACCAATGACCAGGACCAATTTTATGCCAGCAGAGCTTTGTGTTGGGAATCCCGTACACTAGATCCTTGATCAGCAACTCTCAAGACAGAAGTCAAGTCAACAAAGCCATGAGGGCACGTAGACAAGCCGCTACAGTTCCTCCAATCGGATATGCTTGCCAAGAATGAGGATTTACGTAATATCAAGGTCTGCATCAAAGCCCAAATCTTCCAGGTCCTCAAATAGTGATTCGTCGACATCGACATCAGCACTGGCAGCCACATCACTAGATTCTTGTGTTTCAGCGAGGTCTTCATCATCTACAAATACACGCACGCACGCCCAACAGCAACCCACAAGATATTGCAGAAATACAGATGTGTAAATCTCAATTCGAGAACAGGTTCCTTCCTTTCATGCCGTGGAAGATTGATATGAGAGGCCACACAGTATCCATTGCTGTGGATTGCCAAATGGCACTACTATGACTGCTTTCCGGTACCACAAACATGCCTTTATGGAAATTACCACACCTTTATAACAGCAGCAATAATACCAAAATCAATGAAAGGAAACACAGGCAAGTATGGAGTAAATAATCCTTAAAAAACGACAAGGACCAAATAGATCTCACAGTTCAACTTACATTCCAGAAGTTGCATATCAGACTGAGAAAGTGATGCATCACGTTCAAACAGCTCTTTTCCTGGTGGGCAAGAAAAGGAAGAGAGAGAGAGAGAGAGAGAGAGAGAGAGAGAGAGAGAGAGAGAGAGAGAGAAACACACACACACACACACACACACACACACACACACACACACACACATGCAGATAGATAGATAAGGAAGGGAAGAGGAAGAGAGAGAGAGAGAGAAACCAATAAATCACAACAATGCTGCTTACACACCTGAAAGGTATCCAACGGGTACACACAGTACACGTAGTACATGTGCACATGCAATGCTTGTGCACAAAAAGCACCACATTTGCAAAAACACCCACATTTTGAGCGATCTGTGCGTTTCATGTCAGAAGAGAGGAGATAGAAGGTTCATGCAAACTTCTGATTGGCGTGGCTAAAATCGCCGAAATGTCACCCTCACTAAAATTAGCCATTTCCCAATACTAACCTGTAGGCCTTTTCTTGGCAGGATCTGCTTTGGACGTTTGAGATCCTTGCGTCTCTGCTTCAAACTTTGCTTTCCACTTGTAGAAGGCTTCGCACGTCACAGGAGTGCCAAAGAACTGGGGTTGCTGAGCAGCAGAAAGAGAGCAAAAATCAAAATGACCACGACACATGACGAGAGCAAGACTAGAACAGCAGCAGCAGCAGCCGTAACAAAACGACAAAAAGAAGCTGATGGAAGTGTGCAGAGTAACAATCTGGAGGTCAAATTTGGTGACAAAGGGGCAACAAAAAAGTGCAAGTACATGTATGATACACGTACCAGTCACCAGTAGCACGGGAGAGCAGTGAACATCCCATATTTTGCCATACATACCTCTGCCTTTTTTCTTTCGGCTTCTTCACGTGCTTTCTCTTCGTCATCTCGGCGCTTCTTGACAGCATCCTGCTGCCTGTTGAGGAACTCCTGAGCAGCTGAGACTAACGTGAAGATCATGACCATACCGACACTCGCTTCAGCCTGTGCAGCGGACAAACACAATGCACAGACAAAACAACATACTGCTGACGGTTAGCATCTACAATTCATTACTACTACTGGCAACAAACACCTTGGCTGTTGATGACAATGTTCTTAGGCCATATACGGGCACATGTGCAATGCTAGTTCCCTACATTGTGTGGAATAAAGAAAACAAAACAATAAAAATAAACAAACAATGCCTACCTCCTCTCCCAGAAGCTGCATCATCTCTTCGCACTCGGAGTCTTCGAGATTCTCTGATGACGCTATACTGTACTGTGCCACTTCGTCTGGATAGGTATCTCCTAGCTTGAATTTTAACCGCACGGAACCTAGACACAATACACGGAAAGCAGATAACACGCATCCACGTACTGTTCAACAAGATAACATTAGCTTGGTGGCTCAGACTTGCTGTTATGGTTTAACAAAACGCTGAATGCGCTACTCCGAAGCTGAGCCGGCGGGAAGTAGATAGCGGATCCTCGTACATCTCTGTGCAACTATCGGACTGTAATACACGGTAGATGTCCTACAGCCCCATTGCCTCTTACATGCTTACATGACTGCCTTGACAAAGGGAGCATGTATACAAACTGTATGACATGGATCAGCAAGAGCCGCTGAGCTGACCTAGACCAAGTTAGGCAATGCATCAAGTCTGATGATGATAATGATGATGATGACCATCTGGCTACAGACCTGCACAAACACAGTGTCTGCTGTACAAAACAGTACAGACCGGTAAAAAAAAATTTGGTGCCTGACAAGGCACCGGCCATATTGCAGCTGTGCAGTGGGTGCTATTGCTGCACGAAAAATCATCATGCCGTGCCTAATGCCAACACCGGTATGTCATTTGCCTGTACTATAGTACATTGTATTGCACAATGCAGATCATGCTGATAATAAATTAATAATACGCAATATGAATTAGAGCACACTGTTCATCGTGTGTGCGTGCATGCATGCACGCCTACACTAGTACCGTAAAGTAGCGCCAGACCGCCCCGTCTCGCAGAGCGCCCCACCTTGATTTTACAGCCAGGGAAAGGAAAATCGTGTGGCAGAGTGCAATGACGTTTGTACGGTGTGAGAACCTTGTAGTGTACTAAGGTCACAGCAGGTTTTTGTGTGAATCTCGTGTCCGCTCGAAGGTAAATTGAGTACGGATTGACTGCACAACGTGTAATGTGTGTACAAGGTTCGAGTCGTATGACCTACAGACAGGACACCATCTCCACAATACCACCACGAAAGGACGGGATGGTAGGGCACTCTGGTGGTACTTTACAGTACTATCAGGTCATGTACATACATCATGCCTACTCTGGCAACCTTAGATTACACAGAACAAATCCTCACATCGTTCATCCTCGTCAATGTCATCAGATGCTTCCGGCTGAACATCAACCAAGAAGCGCCATGGAGACTGCCCAAGTTCTGTAGTACCAAAGTAGCAAAACAACAGACAGAGGAAAGGTGAGGTGGTAAAGAGAACAAAAAGAGACAAGCGGTAAGCAATTCGCACATGCACACCACATGAACTTAAGATTTTTAATTCATAAATAATTATTGCCATGCATTCCATGCATGTATCCTTACCTTCAAATTCATTGGGATAAATTGACTGCAGTGCCTCTATCTCATTGGCTTGCTCTTCTGCGTAGTCTGTCATCTACACATGTAAAGATGATCAGCAAACTCTCATTGCACTGTACCTGTAGCATTCTGTACGTACGTCAAAGCAAATTATTCACTTTCTCACAATGGTAAAATAAATAGTGAAGCAGCACATTCAACAAAGTGCTACCACCAGGAAGATTTCATTGCACGACTGTGACGGGGAAATTAGCGGCTCCAATGCTTTGTTGTATGTGAACATGGTACAATTTAACACTATGAAACCAACAAAAATGACAATACAAATTAATTCATAAGCTGGAGAAATTCAAAAATCAAAAGTGAATCGTACCTTGGCTACAATAGATTACTCCCGGCGAGGCCACCAGAGCTGAATTCCCATAAATATCTCCACTTTGAGCAGCAATTCTAGGACATCACTAGCTGAAATATAAAAAACTGCTACTTCATGCACGGCG